CTTTATGTGGAAACTAATAAATAATTTGTGACAACAAAATCTTGGCTTCAGACAAATGGATTACACAGCTTTTTTAATTTCATCTTGTAAGAAGTGACTCAGACAGATTTTAAATGTTTTTCTCAAATTTGATTTCCTACTTATTAAAACCTCTTGATACAAATTCAAAATAGAAGTAACTGATACAAAAAAAAATTGTCCAAAATACAATCTAAGGGCAAACAAAGTTTTGACATAGCAATATTGAAGCATTAAAATTAAGATAGCTCGCCAGGCAAGGTAACATATGCCCACTACCAGCTGTCAGAAAATATAACAAAGTCTGTAGTGGCTTAATAATGAATAATAGTCTTGAAAATATTTATAAGTTGAGACAAAACCTCAAAAACAGTTCATCATATTATCATCAATTTCAAATACGAACAAGGTCTCATCAACATACACACAAGGGTAATAACTCTGAAACCGTTCATCCAAATATTACCAATATGAGATCTCATCAATACATACATGCATGTCATGTTCCATCAAAATCGGATAAAAACTGTAGCCTCTATTATGCCTACAAGCCAAATTTAATGTGTTTTATAAAGTCCAGAGCAATACCTCTGAAACCAGTCATCTGAGATCTCATCAATATATACATCTATCCTCCATCGTGCCAACAAGCCAAATTTGACACGTTCTTACTAAGTCAAGGGTAATAACTCTGAAACCGTTCATCCGATTGTTACCCATTTCTAACTTGACCGAGATCTCATCACTACATACCAAGTTTCATGAAGATCAGATGAAAACTGTAGTCTCTGTTGTGCCTACAAGCCAATTTTGACGCATTTTTATGTCAAGTGTAATAACTCTGAAACTGTTCATCTGATTAATACCAAATTCAACCTTGACCAAGATTTATATATTCATGGACTATTTGAGCTCAACACTATTTGCTTGACATCAAAAAAACATGTAAAATTCTTATTTTGCTATTGAATTCTGTAGCCAAGAATCACCATTTGGTTATCATCCTGATATCACTCTAAACACTTAAAAATTAATATGACGTATCTCATTTGTAGCCTCCATTGAAAGCTCATTTAACTCTAGTCACAATCGACTCTTAATAATTCCAATATCAACTGTCTTTGTTCTTATTTTCATTTCTAACTCAATTAAGGGTCAATCAATAATGAATCTATCTTGGAGAGTTTTGATTAAGATAATGAACTAGAAACTCTAATAGTTTGTTAACATCATTTTTCAGACTATCTGATTTTCTTCTATCTTTTTAACTAGATTTCCAACTCATAGCGTTTTTAATATCTTAAAACTATTGAAGCCGAAAGATAGGTTGTCACTATATTTAATGATATTCTTATAGACACGGCTTACAACATTGTCAAATCTTTTACATTAGCTCTATTCTGTGAAATAGTGTCTGAGTCTGGTCATTTATTACAATCTTATCTAACGAACACCATTTACGTTCAGTCAGAAAATTTGAATGCTAAGACAGTGGAACTGATGTACCAAATTTCCAATTAAATCTTGTTCCTGAGTAATTTCGTCATGGTTGTGCCTCCACCAAAATAACTCCCTCACCAAACTGATTACTTCTGCTTATTGATTTCAACTGTACAGGATAAATATTGACTCACTATAGACTGGTAGCTTCTAGAAATAAAGTGTTTTTGTCCATAAGAAGTTGTACCATTAAATTGGCTGTAAGATGAGTTTCTTTTGAAATAGTGCATGTACATAATTATCTTTGAAGTACATACTTTCCTTGAAAGATACCGCTATGATTGATATTAAAAGAAAATGACATTCATTTTCTATATTCAGTATACATATTTCACAAAATAATGATTTTTTACAAAAAGACCAAAAATTTCTAAAAAAGAATGATACACAAGAAATTACAGAAGAATTGGCTTCATGAATATGTAGTCTATGTTCTTACTAAGACTATTTCTGGTGCCGCCACTATCTTATATATCAAACATCACAGTTCCTCTATTAATCTGACATTTCTATAACTTTCTATTTACTCAAGAGTTATGAGGTTGTCATTTTTCGATCTCAGGGCAGGGTCATCAAAGGTCATGGATAATCATTTGTGTAGCTACTGGTCAAATAATCAATAGCAAGTGAAAAGATGGTCTCTTAACGTATTAATTGCTTACTAAAACAATTATGATAACCCCCTGATGCTATCGTATTCTTGTACTAAAAGCTTGAGGTATTGTTTGCGAGGAATATTGCAGGCCGCTATAAAATCAATATGTGCTTCAAATATCTATTGACCGTCTGGCCTGTTGTATTTAGAGTTTGTAACGAGAGATAGGACATTATGGTATAGAATTGTCAATGTTTGGATAATATGTGTAAATACTCTTAAAAGCCATCTACTCAATATTATCAATATAAGATTTATTTAAATAAGTATAATTATGGTATTTTAACGGACTTTTTCTCACTTTTTACACCAGTTAATTAATTAACTTGCCCTGACTTACAGACTTCTTTTGTTTTTGTCAACATTGCTTTGTTGGTGGTTCTAAACTTTGGAAAGAGGTTTTCTCTCCAATATTCTGTTCTTTCATTCAATTCAAAAAAAGCATTTTCTTATTTACACATTAAATTCATTCCTAGACTTTATTTAACTAGAAGCAGGAAAGTACATTTTTAAAAATCTAAACGCTAGATTCTGCAGAATTGGAGAATGTTACATCTCCAATGTAACTTTATTCTTATTTGTCATTCATTGCAGTGTTTCCCTACAAACTAATTTTTATCATTGACTGCAAGATGGATGATGTTTAAATGATTTAATTTCAACATTGGCAAATAAAAAAAAAACCTATTCCAATCCCTACAGATTTAAAGTCATGCTATATGGTGAAGATCAGCTGTAATAATATGGAAGCTGAATGAAGCCACTTAATATGCAGTTGAACTGAATGCAGAGGAAATTACGACCATAACACACACCAATAATAAAATCCAACAGCATTTAACATGTGACCACAAAGTGGTTAGAAAAGTTCCATGTAAATAAAACTTGAATAAGTCAAATTTGTTAAAGATGAACTTCAAATATCTTGTGCACCACAGAAAGAACCTATGACTTGCCAACTGCATCATAACTTTGATCCTATCCTAACCTTGCCTTACTTTGTCGAATGTATCACACTTAAAGCTAGTATCTTTACACAAAGCAAGTTAAAAAAAACATGAACAGGTTAGCTTGGCTAGGTAGCTAGTAGGTGCTCAAGTTTGGAATTTCAGATAGATAGTTGCCATCTAAAGATGTTGGTCACCAAAATTGAAAAGGAAATATTGTATAAGTTTCAGTCATTGCTTGATGTGTTAAGAGCAATGCTGGAGACCTTAGTCAAACCATTTCCATTCAGAAGAAAAACAGCAACAATTGGCTTCCATAGATGTATATTATTGAATGATAGGGGTCCAAGATGGTGTGTCAGTATAGTAACTTATCACCAATCTCAATCTATCATAAAGACCAATTATATTCAACTAGACCTGACATTTGATTCCATTAAGATATTGCCTTCCAATGAAATTCCTCCCAATTCCTAAGATTGATGGCATCCTTTACTCTTGTCTCAATCAAATTCCTTCCCAATTAGTCAAAAAGTGTCAAAGATGTAAGTCAGCTTACATGATCTTATCGTTTAATTGACCCTCTCTGAGATCAGAGAAGAGAAAAGCCAATACAATAATCAAATTATATCCCATTGAATCACCTCTGGTCCATTTCTTTAACAATCACTTAACAAATTTCAATTTATTTAATCAACACTTGTGACCTAGTAAATCTTTTCATTCCAATCAAACTTTTAACAAGAACTTCAAGTCTCCATTTCAATATTCCATTGTGGGCAAACAATCTAGCTAATCAATGACCACCTTCCTTGCATTAATACTTCCTGCCAAATTAAATTATTCTGATTTATAATGGAATGAAGCCAAATCTTTTGGTTTTGAAAGGGTTAAATGGTCTTGATGGCCACCAAAACAAATATTATTTAGAATACTCATTTGACTAAGTATTTAATTGAATTGCCATTGTTGGGCTTTATGGAAGCTGAAATGTAACTCTAGGGTAAATCAAGAAATTATTTATTCCAAGTTAATATCTAATTAACCCTAGAGTGTTCCTCCTCAATTGCTTTAACTGGGGATTACAGTTTGACCAATTACTCTATGGTACCCACAGCCTAGACATTTAGTACTGACCAATAACAATCTAGATTGTATGCTAATCAACAATAATAAGCTTTAAATTCTGTTATTGTCAAAGATTGTCGCAGGTATTGAATAACAATAGATTCAATCATTTCACATAATGTGCTTCCATGCCATCAATTGCAGCAATACTTCCATTAAAACTAAATGAGTGTGCCCACCATTCAATACAGACTGTATTCATGAAGACATGGAAGCAAATAAGAAAGTGTTCCACTATAATATTATTTAAACCTTTGCCTTAAATATAAGTGTGATAGGGTGCATTTTTAACTAAACTAAACTAAAACTGGTTTTATAATGCATCTGTAAGATTTAGAGAGAATGTAATTACTAAATATTGGCCTTATTAACATTTTAACTATTGCCCTATCTAATCTCTTAACTTAAACTGGTCTCACTGGACAATGGCTGTCTTTAGTCAGTACATTGAGTTACTGGTGAGTTTTCATCACAAGATCTGTATAGTCTAACTTGGACCATGGATATCAAACAGAGTGGTTTCTTTCAATCTTTTGAAATAGTATATCTGTTTGAAGCCTCAATTTTTGACCAAGTTCTACCATCTTTGGAACAATTTTTCTTCAGGTATGTGTGTTTGGGTTATTATCTAGGGTAATTGTAGTATTTGGGTAACAAGAAGAGTGATTGTGGCAATCTGAGCCACCCCCCAGTGAGTTAGCTCAGCTATATAAGTTGGTCTTAACTTAAATTTAGAAGCACAACAAACTTACTTGTATTTTGTTCCACAATCAACTTTGGTCAGCCATGTCCATGATTTATCCCAATTCGAACAAGCTGCTGGTATACGTTTTAACACATGTACCCTTTTTGCCGGTCTTGGTACCCTGAAATAGTATAATACTAATATAACTTAAAAGGTCTAGATACAATTGTGCTTCATGGTAACATGGATGCTTTAATACAGGTATTGTTTGTTTTTAGAAACATCATATATTTATTTAAAGTTAATGAAAATAAACATTGAAATATTCTAAAAGTATTCCATAGCAATTGTGTAAGTTATAATTTTGACATCCTCAAATAAAGTGTTTGCACTAGTTTAATTACCTAGTCACAAATCGATTGAGAAGCAATGAAGCAAAAAGTTATCTCAAGAATGGAACAACTTCAATGTTTTGGCAAATGATGAAGTTGTGTTTTTCTTGCTCATTTTGATATCAAAGCAATTTGTAGACACTGTTAACAAAATGACATAAACGTACAAATTATTTTGGAAACAGTCCAAAAACTCTTGAAATTCATATATAGAATAATATATAATTGAAAAATAAAATCTAAATATATCATTGTACCAAGTTGCATTAATCTGCAAGTTCAGACTGACAGATATTGATGTGTAATTTATGACTTTCTTTATGAAAGGAATGGCTTAATAGAGTACACAAATCCTCATAAATACAGCCTAATGTTAAAAGCACTTGAAAATATTTTAAGAACTAAAGGAATATTTTTTAAGCAGACGTCAATTCCAAGTCAATTTTGAATTGAAGGCTATTTGATTTTTTGATAGCTAATGAAGTCTTGTTAAATTAGTGCTTCAATGATTGCCTTATTTCTACAACTTATTGATTGTATTAAGTTGCAAAGGCACTCGCCTTGTATGGAGGAAATAGGCTAGAACTCTAATAGAATTACTTCATCCTTCATTTTTTCTGATTTTCCTCCCAATAAAAGCTGTCTGATATAATAATTGTGTTGATAAAAGATGGTTAATAACCTTAGAATACAGACACACTTGAATATTTAGCTGTCAGACGCATTGTTACCAGTGCCACAAGACAAAGTTAATCCTGAAGCTCTTCATTTTTGAAGTAGATACTTTAGGCGTTATATTCCAATATTTCTGACATTCTGTTCTTTAATTTAGTACCAATTAAGCATAATCTCAGTCCAAAGGGATGCTTATTTGAAGAAATTTGATATCTAGTTTTGGATCTAGGTATAGCATAGAAACAATTTAACTAGGATCTGCCTTTTAATGACGATTTCCATGCACAAACAAAGACAGAAGGAAAATCTGATGTCTAAATAAAACTAAAGATAAAAGTCAATGAAAGAACAGTTGAAGTGTCCCGGTTCAAATGTTTTCATTGATTTAACAGACAAATTACGCTGGAATTTAACTCTTGAAAAAAGCAAATTGAATTTTGAGTGCATTCTTCAAATGGATTATATTGTTGAACAATATTGAATCTATAGAAACTGCAGTAAAATCAAATTGTAATTCCACCAATTTGATAAATACAAGTGTTTTCATGATGAGCTATTTTAAGTATGTCAAAATGAACTTCATTGAGATTCATTAAGTCAGAAGTATCTAAAATCTGAATTAGGATCATTCTAGTTAGTTTTATATATGTATATTGAATTCCTTATTCTTTTTTTCCCCATCAGATTGGAACAATCATCAAAAATTATGTTTACATGTCTAAAGAAAACAGCTTTGACACTTTTCATTACACATCATGCTTTTAACACAACTATTCTCAGAACATTGACTGTTTACACTACTAGTTTTTCATCGGTTCCATTCTAAAAACACATAATCTTTGTAATGTCAGCAGGGCTTTTGACATTGAAAATGACAATAGCTTAGGCCTATACCTTGCTTTAATCTTTTTCAAATAATTAAAGAAGGTATTTTTTGCAAAATTTGCAAGTTTGAATCTTCAAAAGGCATGATCAGACAACAATTATTAGAAAAACTTGACTTTCATATACAAGTTATCACAGTATTTTCAAAATGTTGGTGTGAGAACTAATAGCTAAATTAGGAATTTTGGAAGGCTAATTTTTACCAAATCCCTGATTATTCCAAATACAGTTAAACTGTAATCAGAAAATACATGAGATCAGCAATGAATTTGAGGTTGATAATTGAAACCATGCAGAAAGCTACTAATATTGTGACCCTTAGAGTATAATATAAACAGTTAGTGCTGACATTTATACCAGTATGTTTTTTATAAAATATACTTACGGTACAGCCTTGGAGCACATTTCCCCAGTTACTAGCGAGAGAAGGTACACTAGATATAGTGTTAGTATTGATATTGGTACCACCATACTCCTACTGTATAATATTACCACCATACCATACAACTTTTACTCATCTCCCACTATCTTACACCTAGAATACAGAAATTATTTTACATCATTTACAGTTCTAGGTATTAGAACGAAGGTGATAACACAGAATTATCAGGAGCATTTAAGAAACACCTGAAATTCCGAACTTTTGATTAATTTGTATTGATTAATTTCAAATCCATTACTTTTTTCATACAAACACATGTCAAAACAACTTCTAGCATCCTAAAAATCGTAGATTTTTTCACTTAGCCATTGATTGGTGAATAGCACCAGCAAGCCTTTACATTGCAATCTAGGTCTGCAAATCAATTATCAAAGATAAGAATATACTTTTGAAATGCGCAAATATACATATTAAGCTATAAATGCAGTAAGATCCATCGAGCCCATTCTCAAAATAGTACAGCTCCCATACTTAAGTATATCAAATGCACTCAATAATTGTAGTTGGATGCCTAAACTGATCCATTCCATCATTAGAATAAATCCTAGATCCTGTAGATCTGTGTACCAGGTTTATGATGTGGTGATATTATGTTGTATCTGGTCTATATGAGTCAGTGTGTATGTTTTAATTCTAACAGTAGGTAGAGAAGATAGTATTTTAAGGTGAGGGAAGTACATGTTTATACAGGCAATGTGATGAAATGATAATACCTATATACAATTAGATTTCCTTTAACCCTCGCTTTCTCTATCTTACACCTAACACACAATCTGTTTCACTTCTGTTACACTTTCAGACTGTCTGCAAGTCTAAAAATATAGGTCAACAACTACTTGGAATTGATGTATTTTCTTTGTTTTTATACTTTTTCTTACAAGAGAAAGAAAGATGCAATGTGAAGTATGCCATATACATCTTATTTTTTGTCTTTTGATAACATATGCCTCCATCAGACTAGATTGACAAAAAAATGAAGCAAGAAATTATTTCACAAAAACACGCAGCATTGCAACTTAAACAGAAACTATTAACCAAAACTTTAAACAGACTTCATTTACCATAAGTATGTAGTAGTAAATGGTAGTGCACACTATATTCCATTTTGATCTAAGTAACAATTTTATACAAAGAAAATTGATGAGAAAAACCCATGGAATAACAATTACAAAATTAAACATGCTCAACAAAAATGTCCTTTTGGGAAGCAGACAAAGCAGACATCAGCTGTAATATGTCTGTATACATGAGTAACATTCAGGTTATTTAACAGCCTGGCATTCCTCTGGGAACCATACCAGCAGTCATCCATTGTATAATTCATGACCATGGACATTAATAATTGATGAATTTTTAACATCATAAAATATAAATGTAGGGGCTGTCTATATAACAGTTCTGAGCTCTAGGAAACATATCTTTTGTTTTATTTAATCTACGTGAACCATAATTTGTCACACTGTTAACAGCAAAAGACCAAAAATTTCTAGGATACAAGATAAGCTTTACTAAGACCTCAAAATTCTTCCAAATTATCAATACACAAAGTGTGCCATACAATGCCAATGGTATAAACTGTTTCTTTTAGCTGTGCTTTTTTATAAAATTGTTATTTCAATAATTTCCATTGGTTATTCTCAATATTACAAGGGACAATGCCAAACTATGGAATTAAGTATGTTGGCACACCAAGGGGGCAATTCAAAATATTCCTTGCCACTTCATCACAATACCTCTTGATATCAGTCCTACACTGTGATATCAGATCAATAATGCATAATTTCAGCTCTATTTCATTTCTAAACAAAACTACTACACACCTTAATAACCTGTTCTCCAGTAATAATTGATTTCAAGGCAACATTGACGATTATTATATCATAATGCCTTGCACATAGCGATGTAAGAAATGATTAATAATAATGGATCCACAAGCAGTGTATCTGTGATATTACTAATAATTGATGCTAATAAGTTAATAATGAACTAATAAAGTACTAATTATAATGATTAATAAGCCTATACTTCTCTTGTACCATCAGAGAGAAATTATTGATACACTAATACCAGTTTATTTATTGATTTCTTCCATATCAAACCAGTCAATGGTGGGTTTTTATTTCTATTGTTCACAACCAGTCACTCATTGACATTCATTTTACACTGTAAATAGCCTATCAAGCAGCCTTAAGCTTTTCCATGTACAACATTAATGAAAATTTGAAAAATTGTAGGAGAATAAAATATACAATGGATACAGACAGTTCCAGTGACCTACATTATAGATTCAATATCTAACAATATAACAACACCAAGATTATTTATCCTAAATATCTACAATTTCCTGCATCATCATAAGTAGTTCCTATCCTAGAGCAATATCAAGATTGAATTGTGGGTCCAAGCCTCAAAAAATCAATCAATATGCAATAACATATAACACAAACACATTGGTGAACATAGGTATAATAAATAGAATATACCTACATTCAGAACGATCCATACAAATTCTATACAATACAATATTTTAACAGCAAATGTCCAAAAACTGTCAAGAATCAAAGGACCTGGTTAATAACTCTGTTGTGACAAGGTAAAGTTTAAACCCAGCAAGAATATAGATCATTACTATAACCAGATCAGTATTCTATATAATTATACTATAATAGCAGTGTTGGTGTAAATGTCACTTCATATAATCACACTGTTAATGATAATAAATGCAGACATCAATGGAAAGTTAAATGGAGAGATACATGCATTAGCTATTATCTTTTAAAACTAATATTTCAAGGATTACCAACAGCTTCAAAGAATTATAAAACAAAATAATAATGGAAAAAGTGAAATGTCTGTTTATTTCCTCTAAAATCAAAAACAGCTTCCAACTGACAAACTAAATTGTATATTTTATGGTGCAGAAAATTTTTTTGTTTCTCTTACAAAATAACTAAAATATATTGTCTGAAGTGCACTAAGTGAAAATACATTCCCCAAATCTTTTTGGTACATAATGTTTGCATTTTTGGACAAACATCAAGCTTACTAAAATGTGACTTTCAGGTTCAAATCTTACCAAGTATAATTTGACTTGTTCAGTAAATCCCATTAGCTGGACCTCTAAAAGTCTAATGACAAGAAATACTATTGAAAAGAACTATCAGTAACTTTTTGGACTTTTCCATTACAAGTTTGATAGTAATTTGTGGTAGAAAATGAAGTAGAATCTATTTCTATTCTTTGCTCTAATAACATTAATGTATTTGACTTGGTAATCAGTGCCAATTACTAGGTCATTCTGTGTAATAGAAATGGTGAGTTTGAAACTTGATGGTAATTATTCTACTTCATTCCATGCTAATACAGGTTTTATCATAGTCACTTGGTGCAGTCATTAATCAAATATTGACAATCATTCAGTCTTCATACAAAGGGATTAACCCTAAACAAGTCAGCTGTCAATTTTTTATTCAACTGAAACTTTTAGTCACCACACAGCTTCTCACAAAATAAGGTTAAATTCTAAGGAAAAACAATGGTATTTAAATTAATGAATCAAAAACACTTTTTCCCGAAGTAATTTTACCTCTACTATTGAATGTGATTATGAACGAGTGCCTACCAACCATCTGATATCTTATGAAGTTTGTGGAACTAAGAAATTGTTACCGACCACCTCATTGTTTTAAATTCTAAGGAAAAACAATGGTATTTAAATTAATGAATCAAAAACTCTTAAAAAATGTTCTTGATTGTCAAAATAAAATAAGTCAACTACTTGCAGACAATAAAACAAATAGAAGGCATGATGTCATTTTCGCTTTTGAATATGCTTTGTGGAGGTTAGGTATCACAAAGACAATTTAAAGTGAACTGCAAATATCAAACTAAAGACAGACATCAATACCAATAACACAACAAAATAATGGCATAATTTACTCCAGACAACAAAACGAATGACAGAAATTGGAAATTCAAAGACAATGTGACCCACAAGAATCTATACAGAAGGCAAAAATCATAAACACTTATCATAGTTAAAAATCAGGGAAGTGGAAAATTGGTTTTCATTGGGGATGTCTTGCTTTAATAAACACAATATATCTAATAGGAGAATCATATAGGTAGAACTGTAACTAATTACTTTGTAAGTGAAAATCATCACCTGTTGAACAATATTGTCTCAGATATATCATAATTCATAATTCATAGAGAATATAAATAATACAATTATATAATTAATATAGATAGATGGTGATGCTATGTCACTGGGTTTGTCAACTTAGCATCTCATTTGTGGATGAACAATGGAATCAATGAATCATTTTGAAGTAACCTCAAACAACACACATAAAAGCCCTTACAGATACTTGTATATTTTCTCAACCATTAGAATTATTCTTTTTTTATAGAATTACACTTGAATGCCATTCTGACTTGATATTCAAATCTTAATCTTAACACCATACATTACATAGTGGTACTCTTTGCATTAATTGCAGAGAGAGGAACATATTAAAGCAGATCTTGAAATTGGTGCTTTCTCATGAGTTCTTAACTAGTTGCTTAACCAAATACCAGAGTCTACAATAATATTTCTATATCTTAATGAGTAAATTAAAACTGCTATCTTTTCTAACCAAATCTTGCTCTTTTCATTACTGCTGATCTAAGATTGTCTATTTCTGGTTTTCAGAGATAAAATAGAACATAATCCTAGCTGATTAACCCTATTTTAATGTTAATCATTAGTTAAGATAAGCAACTCTGAGAGATTTGCAGGAAATACTGGTACCATATCTGATCTTGGCTTATACTTATCTAAAACAGCCATCAAATTACATACTAAAGAGAAAACAGTTAGTGGTATATATCTATTACAACAATCATATATCTGAGACTGAGCTATCTCATTAGAAATAATATCAAAAATTTAATATTAATTCATAGACAGACTTGCACTGAATTATATTCATTCTATTCCATACCACTTGCTTGATATGAAAGTTTCATTATTGCCAGGATATGT